TAGTATACTTCTAAAGACTTTCTTGGTGTAGAATGAGAACTTGCATACATGACTATAGCAAAAGATAATCCCCCTAAAAGCAGTCTTATCTATATTAATATAGGCATTTTTTTGGTTTCTTTTCTGTTCAAAAAGATCTCTACCCAACAGCCATGACTCCCTTCAGCATGAAAAGGAAATCAAGTAACAAGGATGAACGGAGAAAGGACGATAAGTGTTTAAAATGTGCTGGCAAGCTCTCGTTTCCTCATATTTAGCTTTGAATATCAATAGGGATCCCATGGTGAGACTGCAAAATGATTAAATGATCAAGCTCACCCACATCCTTGGGTTTTTATCCTTTATTAACGTTGTTCATTTTATGGTTTTAATTGTGAATATATTGTATGCTGCCCAGAGTCTCGTTTCATGACAAAGGAGACTATATAAATCTATTAAATAAAATAAAATGGTGAGCTTCCCAAATGCAGCTGAAGTGGTGCACACAAGGCATTCTGCAATGAATTATCTTTAATATTGGTTTGTTGTCAAGCTATCCACCGTTAATCATAAGACAAACCTCAGACCCCAAGCCAACAGCAAGAAACCTGACCTGAGCTGTGTTTTTTCTACCAGCAGTTCTGACACAATGCTTCGAAAGATAAAAGGAGAAAGCTAAGCATGGGTTTATTCATGCCGCCGCAGATTAACTGAGGATTGGATTTCTATCTTTAAGATAATGTTTCCAACCCAACTAAAAAAGTCTTTCCAACCTTACAAGCAGCCTTTCATCATTAACAGCTCGTTTTGCTTACTAGAATAACAAGCAGGCACCTGGCTTGCAAGAGATAATTTGGTTTGACAACCTATCCTTCTGTTATACATTCAGGAAATTCTGTCCCCCACCGCATGGGACTGAGTCTGATGACCAAATGGGCACATCACCAAATTCTCCGACTTATCAAACATCTTGCATTGTATTAAACTGTATTTCAATAAAGTTAAAATAACAACAACAATAAGGGAACTGCCAAAACAACAGACAAACAAAAGATCAGTTTCTAATTGACACGTTGATTTTGGAAAACTGCAACAGAAGGGAGACCAACTTAAACGTGGCATGGATTACAAGAAGGCATTCAATTCCCTGCCAGATGATTGGATAATCAAGTGCCTAGAAATAACAGGAGTCAGCAGAAACATTGGTTTTGTGCAAAGGTGAATGGCACAACGGAAGGCACAGTTGCTGGTCAATGGTGATATCAAGAGAGGAATCTTTCAAGGAGACTCAGTTTCACCATGACTGTTTGTCACTGGATTGATTCTTCTGTAGACAATACTGAATAATTCAGGCCATAGCTATATCAAACATCAAAAAACATCTGCCAGGCTATCACACTTCCTTTACATCAAAGATCTGATGCTGTATGAAAATAAAACATCTGAAATAGAATCACTGCTCAACACTGTATTTATAGCCCAAGCTATTGAAGTGAAGTTCGGACAGGACAAATGTGCTCCGCTCACCATCAAATGGGGGAAAAATAATGAAAACTGAAGATGCCCTAGAGAAACAATATCAAGAGTCTGGATGAAGACGATCTCTATAAATTCCTGGGCATCCTTTAAGCTGACAACGTCAAGCACACCGAAGTCAGGAAGGGTGAGAAGAGAATACATCATAAAAGTGAATAAAAGATTTAAAAGTCCACATTTAATGCAGGAAATAGCATCAAGCCATTTAACACCTGGGTGATTCCTGTCATTAGATAGGCAGTTGGAATAGTGGACTGGACTCAAGCCGAACTGAGTAAAAGACTGAGTAAAGACCAGTAAAATAATGACAATGAATCCCCTTCATCCACGCAGTGATGTTGACAGGTGCTTCTTACCAAGAAAAACAGGTGAGGGTACAACAGACAGCTGAAGAAGAAATAAAAAGGACGTTGAAAGAATATATGAATGAAAATGAAGAAGACACACTGAAGCTAGCATGCCATGAACGCTTACTGGAGAGACCGAACTGGCCTATAAGACCAAATAAAGAATAGAAAGGAGACATAGCAAGGCAAAGTATTACATGGACAGTAAATAAAAAAATATTAGGCAAAGCACTTAACACCAGACCTGGCAGTGGCCAAGAGCAGGAAAATTGAAGAAAGAGACAGAAGGGCTAATTTTGACTTTACAAGATCAAGCTTTAAGAACAAATGCATACAAAGCCAGAATTGAGAAGACAACGATGGACGGCCAATGCTGCCTCTGCAAAGAAGCAAAAGAAAGACAGGACCATCTCATTTTTACTACTGCAGGAAGATTGCCCAGACTGATTACAAACAATGGCATGACAAAGTAGCAACAATGGTGCATTGAAATATCTGCAAGAAGTACCAATTGCCTGCAAGCAAAAACTGGCCCCTAAAATAGACAATGTAACAGAAAATGAGGAAGCTAAAGTGCTCTGGGATTTTAGAATTCAAACAGAGTAGCACCTGCGACCCAGCATCCCAGTCTTAATTGTTGATAAGAAAGACAAAATCTGGGTAGTGGATGTGGTAGTATCTGGGGACAGCAGAAGAGAAGAGAAATAACTGGAGAAAATCATAAAATACAAAGACCTGCAAATAGAAGTAGAACGGCTTTGGCAAAAGAAAACAAAAATACCACTAATAGTAATAGTAATCCCAATGGGGAGTGATAGGTGCAATCCTAAAACATCTGGAGCATTACTTGAACACATTGGCATTAACAAAATCACCATTAGTCAATTGTAAAAGACAACTTGACCTGGAACAGTTTACATCCTGTAAGGATACATTCAGCACCATCAAACAACAACATTTGCCAATCCCAGATCCTTGGGAAGGACTCAATAGGTCAGGGCTGTCAAACTCCCATGCCCACACCTGGTTTAGCGAAGGGGAAAAAAGTTGTGATACGTCACGTGACAACTCGAATGTCAACTTGCAAAGCTTTCAAGTTGCCATGAGCAGGAGGGAGGGGGAACTGAAGTGAATTCCATACATTTTTTCTGACCGCAATCAGAAGGAGGTGTTAGGTTTCACAGCCAGCCAAAGTGGGTAATTGGGGAATGTGATTTATGACATGGCCAGAGAGGAGGGGAGAGGCAGGGTCATAGGGGAATGTAAATCTACGTGGGATCAGTCCTAACTGCATCCGAGTATTGCCGGAATGTTGCTCCTAATAAATGAATATATTTCCTTTGAAGTTTGGATCATGGCTCATGAATTAATTAGGGCATCTTTCGGAAACTTGACACCGAGTTTGACACCCCAGCAATAGGTGAATAAAAATCCCAAAACCTGTCTAAACTTCTGGCTGACAGTGCAACCAACCATAATTTATAAAACCTGTATGCTACCCAACTCAATGACTTTGGGCAGCTTACAACAATCAAAGAAACTGCAGTAAAATCATTGGAATGTAAAAAGGATAAAGATAAAAGTTGGCAAGTGCAAAAAAACAGTCTTACACTCCCTTGCCAAAACACTTCATTATTCTTCTAAACAACAGCAGAGTTAGGAGGCCATCCAGATTTTTGGGGAACCTCAAACCAAAGGTCAGATGCTGCAATAGAGAAGGTGTGCTTCCAAGGTCTTGACAGATGACAATGTTTAATCAATGGAACTCGGAGCATGCTAACTCTGCAGAATTAAATTAGCTGGGTAGATGTTAAGTAATCTGGTTCTACAGAATATAGGGCCTAGATTTATTAAGCATGTAACAGAAATAATGCCATGAGGAAGACTGTTGTAGACTTGAAAAAGCACCATTTTGGATGTTCCAGCATGTTTTGCCTTCTGGAACAATAACAGCCTATTAAGTAACCCTATCTCATTCTGTGCCAATCTATGGCCAATTATATCTTCTCAAGGAAAGCAAGGAGTGTCAAACTTTATGACTACAACTAACAGGCATCACCAATTTCTATTCTCCAAGAAATTACAAGTGATCATCAACTTAAAATTATTTCAGGATCCAATCACCAGGACCAGAGGTTTACTTTTCTGAGCTTTTGGACCTGTGCTGCAATCCATCCTTAGGCAACTTCACTTTCAAATGGTATATGTGCATGGAAGTTCACCATATTGAAATATCAATAACAGGTGGCACAATTTTTAATAAGTAAAAAGATTCCAAAAGAAAAACATTCTTGCAGATGTTTTGTTACCCATCACTATTCGGTTATCTTGTACTGCTGTAACTTAGTTGGGTAATGAAACATCTATTAGCAGAAAACAAAGCTCAGAAATCTCCATACAAGAAACTTGGAGACATTATTTTATGGAATCTAACCAAATATACTCTTCAAGTTATTATCCTCACATTGCAAATGGAATTGATCTTAATGAAGAATGGCTTGCCTAAAACTATAGATTTAATTGGTTAAATCAGCCCTTTTCAGGGGCCGTACTAGTTTAGTTATCATGAATGAATTAAGACTGCCTAATGAAAAATGAAAGATGTCTGATATATAAAGACAACAAAGTCAGAATAAAAATAAATACAGCTAGTCCTCGACTTACAACCATTCATTTAGTGACTATTCCAAGTTACAACAGCACTGAAAAAAGTGACATATGACCGTTTTTCACACTTGTGACCACTGCAGCATCCCCACGGTCACGTGATCAAAATTCAGTCGCTTGGCAACTGATTCATATTTATGACGGTTGAAGTGTCCTGTGATCAGATTCCCTTAACAACTGTGTTTCTAACTTAACAATTGTAGTGATTCCCTTAACAATGGAGGCAAGAAAAGTCATAAAATGGGGCAAAACTCACTTAACAACTGTCTTGCTTAGCAAGGGAAATCTGGGGATCAATTGTGGTCGTAAGTCGAGGACTACCTATAAATAACTGTAAGAGGTTCCCTCTCCTGTACTGCTGGAGTAGATCTCTGCAATTTCTAGAATCTATTCCATATACTGCAGGTACATCAAGTGGAATACCATAAAAGGAATCATTTGAAGCTTATTAGTTCAACATAAGATACTTACACTGCCCACTCAAGCTTTTCATTTTTGATTGAGTTGTAAAGAGCCTGGAAAAGGAAAGAAATAAAAAAAAAAATTAAGTGGATTTGAATGACCATATATAGAAGATAACTTTTTTAAAAAAATCCAAACGTCACAAATTACCACATACATGTTGCACTAAGGATTAAAGCCTTATTCCTTAGCCTGGGGTGCATAAAAGTCTTTGTTGTGTTTTAACATTGCTGAACTCGTGTTTTTTTTTTTTTTCTTTAAGCCTGGAGACGAGGAAAGGCTTTTAACAACCCTTCGCTGACTTTGGAGAGGTTCCAAAAGTTAAGAGCTTGTTACACAGAAGTCTTCTTCAAGTGCTTTTGCTCCAGTGCAGAATTGGAGAGGATGAGTGGGCTCATATTTAGTATTTTATTACAGATAAAACCTTCATGGTCATTTGGGAACAAGCACAGAGCCTGGTTTAGAGATCTCAGTTCTCAATGCTGAAGAAGAAGAAAAACATCAACCGACCCATCCACTCAAAGGATTAATTTCAAATTAACAGAGACCAAAAACATGTCCTGAACAATGATATTGAGGCTTAAGATGAGATAAATTTTGCTCATGTATTGTTATAGGAAAGCTAAGTCAATAACAACCCACCAAGCTGATTCTGAACTTAACAGAACTCTCCCTGTGAGTCTTTATAGAAATTCTAGTTTCTAAGGTCATTTTTAATATTATGCCCCTTAGACAATTTTTTTTAATATTTAAAATTTGGAATCAGAGCTTATGGTACCTCTCTTTAGAACAAGAGGTGAATTCTATAGATCAAGAATGCACAAATAAGGGAGATAAAAGGAATGTAAAATGCTACATCAATGCCGATCTATTTGTTTTGGCAAGTAAGGGATATAAAACTCTATACTTGTATCTTGCCCACTGCACTTCATATTTGATATTTTATAATTAAAGTCTCCAAATAAAATGACATTAAATTCATATGGCATATTCTGAATTTCTACCCTCCTGCTGCAAATCACATTGATAAGAGCTTTTAAAATGACATATATCAGACATATCATAAAAGCCATTTCACCTATCATTTTATCTATTACTATTAAATATAATATGGTAGAAAGCCCAGACAAGGTGGGAATAGTATGATTGGTAAACTTATTCAACTGTATCATTAAACAGCAGGTCAGGTAGCCTTTAAAAGATTGAGTATTAGTACCAGTTTGCTTTTCAAAATTTCCCGATATACAAATAGAACACAACCTTTATGTATTTTATGCATTTATTTAAAGTCGTTTATATAGAATTCTTCCAAAGTCATATAATCTTGGGAAAATAAAAACATCTGGTTTCCAAAAAATAACAGTATCTGTTATTTTTAGATAATTTATATTTAGACGAGCCTCTCTAGAAAAGGAATTCCATGACACCAACATCTGTGCTTTGAAATATGAAGCCCATCCACTGAAATACCTCAATATAGTTCCTAACATGCAGCACTAGCTTCCCATCTGGTCCTAGCAGCTGTATTCTGAGCTAAGTGTAAATTCATGACAGCCTTCAAAAGGTGTGTGCGTGTGTGCGCGAGTGTGAGTGATTCAAGTGTCTAAGCTGTGTCACTGAAAACTGAATGTCTTACAGCTCCTGTAAATTTTAGAAATACAACAAAACCAAAAATAATCAACGATAAACAAATACTTCAAAAGCATCAGTCTGTGGTGTCTATACTCCTGGGGTAGTGTCATCCTTCCACCCTATCACTAAAGTCTTCCAAAAGAGCCAAAGATCTCCAGGGGGAAACATAACATATAAGCCTGAAGAGAAAATCCTAAGCTTTGCTAGAGTATAGATTACTGTCTGCAACAGCAACACATCTGGAGATTACCAGGCTGCAGGCTGCTTAGTTGAGAGTTCTGCCTATAGTAGTATCACAACAGTGGATATATTTCATATATGCAGAACAATGATGAGGTTTTTAACTACAGGATATATTTCATATATGCAGAACAATGATTAGGTTCAGATCAAACCCTTTATTATGTCACATTCATCCACCAGAAATATCAACAATTGATAAGAAATCAATTTCAAAGGAAGAAAAATATGCCTAGATTGCTTGTGCAGCTGTTTCTCTTTCTTAGCACACCAGCTTCAAGAAAGTTCATTCATTCATTCATTCATCCATTCATCCATCCATTCATTCATTTTATACCGCTATACATCTCACATATTTGAGATATCTAGGTATCTTACAATAAAATAGATAAAATACATGATGTAAAAAATAAAACACATAGCAGCCAGGCATCATTCAAAGAACTATCAACTTAGCCAGCAGATGGAATCCATTACACACCTAGGACCCAAGACCCAGGTAAAAAAAAAACCAAGTTTTCAAGTCCTTTGAAAGTTGAGCAGGGAGGGGCCAATCTAATCTCAGAGGGGATGATGTTCCACCAAGTGGGCCTCATGGCAGAAAAGAGGTTCCTTCTGGGCCCCACCAGCCAACACTCCTTGGCTGACAGTATCCGGGGATCTAATATGTAAGGTAATATGTAAGCCACTGGGGAATGCTGGTCCCATAAATAACTCGGTTCCAAGTCATGAAGAACTTTACAGGTGACAGTCAGATTATTCAGAGTTTACGTGATCTTCCTGCTTGGCTGATTCAAATCAGGAAACCCATGAAATCATCATCGCCAAGTTAAAAATTCACAATTAATGGCATGCATTTCATCATCATAGGCTTCCTCATTTCCAAAGATTATTATTTTTAATTGCCCAACAAGTCACTACTCAAAGATTTGATCATTAAGTCAGAAAAAGCAGTTAGTAATCCTCTCTAGCCAGCTCTTTCTTTCTTTGCTCTAGGAAACTGAAGCATAATAAAATATGGCAGGAATTTCTGAAACAATCTGCTTTGAATCTAAGTGGGGTAAATATTTCATATTAGATATAATTCTAAATCTGACTGTGACTAGTGTGTTAGATGTACACTACCTTCAACTTCATTCTAGAAGAACACTTAAGTGTGTGGGGTATGTGTGAGCTTGACTAGATAGTTTTACATCTATTAGTACTATAAGATAATAACATGTTGCTATCAAAATATTGATATTTATTCCAGTTTTATGTTTCCTTCAACACTTGTTGACTTCAAGACTGCAGAATCTTTTTATGCCATATTGTATCCAATTCCAAGTAATATCCACATCCAAATCCTGGTATGCTGGCAAGATTCAGCAAACCAATGGACTAAAGTACTAAATACTATGTTTAGGAAGTTCTAAGTGTCAGCGTTCCAAATTAGGCTTTCTTCCAGCGCTGACATAACAAGTTGAAGCAGAAAGAGCGGAAGCTTGATTTATTGCTGAGATGAACTTTTACCTAGTTTTGTTTATACAGATAGGGTTTCCTGGGAGACGAGGGTGGGGGCTGCATTCCTGTGAAAAGAACGTGCCGGGATGTAGAGATGGATCTGTATGATGGCCAATGGGACGTGGGGGCTGGAGAGCGGAAGAGGAGGGGGTTGGAAGGAGGGGCCAGTTTGGCTGCAAATTTGAGTCAGAAATGTCGGATTCTGCTATGCTTAAAAATAAAATGTTTCATTAGACAGCTTGCGCTTGAGAATGAAGTTTATTCAAGATAGCACCGAAACCTGACACTAAGTTTAGTCATTACTCTAACAATTGTTATTAATGAAGATAACATGAACCTCCAACAATCATGAATTGCGTCCTATTGAGCACTGCATGTTAAATCTTTGAAAAGATCAATAAGGCATTTGGAGATGACATTTCATTTTTCATATAAGGTATCCTATTACATGCAAAATATTTCCCCAATGAGGGGCAGTAATTTGGATTTAAATATTGAGAACCCCAAAAAGAGGAACAGTTTTCTCCATGTAGATTGTAGAATGTAGATATGATAAAATCTAAGAGACTTGGTAGTACAGTGGTTTAAAGCACCCTGTTATTAACACAACTGCCTGCAATTACTGCAGGTTCGAATCTTACCAGGCTCAAGGTTGACTCAGCCTTCCATCCTTTCTAAGGTAGGTTAAATGAGGACCCAGTTTGTGGGGGCAATAAGCTGACTTTGTATAAATATACAAAAGTATGAAGGCTATTGCTTAACGCATTGTAAGCCGCCCTGAGTCTCCGGAGAAGGGCGGCATATAAATCAAATTAAAAAAAAAAAATCAATGCATATTCATGCTCTCATCTGGTCACTTTATCAGTTTTCTTGAGAAGAAGTTAAAAAGCTATTTGATAATTGGAAATTATGTCTCTATTATATGAGCTATGATTTCAGTCCCTATTAGACCTGTTGAGTGCTCCATAGGTACTCACAGGTGTTTCTTGAAAGCATTTTTTTTTAAATTAAATTGAGATTAGAGGGTGTATAATCACAATTTATATGGTTTAGATGATAAATGGGATTAAAAGATTTTTATATATTCTCTTTATAAAAGTGCCTGGGGATATTATTCCATGCTAAGTATAATTACCGTAATTATAACTTGCTGACTTTGCATACTCATAGTAAATGGCAGCACTTCCAATATATTGGAGAAACAGAATGAATTGATTTAAATATTGCTAACTACAAGATCACTCAAGTACATCTCCATGTCCTAGGTCAGTGATGGCTAAACTTTTTCTCTTCGGGTGCCAAAAGCACACATGCAACAGCGCGCACGCATGCCGGCACCCATAATGCAATGTGCGTCCCACAGCACATGCATGCATGACCCCCCATACATACGCACGCGGGCCCCCATGTGACCCCGCCACCCATGCATGCACGCGAGGGGTGGGATTAAAATTTTTTAGCAACCTGAACCATGGGGGGGGGCGCGTTTTTGCCCTTCCCAGGCTCCGTAGGCTTTTCTCGAACCTCTGAGAGGCTGAAAACGGCCTCCCCCGGGCTATGGAGGCTGGAAACGAGCCCATTTCTGCACTTCCGGAACATGCACGCCACTCCCCCCCCCCGCACTCTCCGCCGCATATGCACATGATCCCCTGCGCATGCACGCATGTCTCCCGCATGC